GAAGTTCCCACAAGAATAGTAAACAAACAAACATTTTGTTAGTCCTCACAAGGTCAAATGCAATGTCTAGGGGGGTTAAGGTTAGAATTAGTGTTAGGTTTAGGAGCTAGGGTTAGTGTTAGGGTTAAGGTTAGGTTTTGGGGTTATGTTTAGGGTAAGGGTTAGAGGTTAGGGAAAATAGGATTTTGAATGGGACTGAATTTTGTGTCCCCACAAGGTTAGTTGTACAAGACTGTGTGTGTGTGTGTGTGTGTGTGGGGGGGGGGGGGCAAACTCAGTTGGTTGCGGGTAAAATCGTTTTTTTAAATACAGACATGAGAAACATACTGTATCACAAAAATTGCTTTCGCATATTCAATAAATGCATTGTAACTTGTACAGTATGAAGGCCCCAGAATGTTGCCATAGATAATAGATGAATAATAATAATGCTGTGAAATAAATGTAGGCTATCACTCGGATGCAGCCCATCTCACCCCGCGCTGCCTGCTATGTCCTGCTAAGATCCATATCGCAAGCTGTTGACTTGTGGGTCCCGTCCGTCGGCATACCACTGACTGACCCTAACCACCTCTGTGCTTCGGCCCCTGATAGTGTGTGTGATTGTGGGCCGGTGGGGCCGCGGGCGGGCTCTTGTTCCCTCTCTTACACAGGCGGAGGGGTGATCCGTATGAAAGGCCTCAGGAACCTGGGTGATAAACAGCCATTGTTCTCCTGAGAGCTTGATGAAACAGAGAGGGATGTCTGGCCACGCCGCCTGCTGCGGAGATATGAGGTCCTGCCACCATACACAATAGATCAGTGTTGTAGTACTCCAGTCTCGAGTCCGGTCTCGAGACAACATATTGAGTGTCTCAGTGTCGGATACATTTGTACTTGGTCTTGACTTGACAGTGAGGACTCGTAATTTCTTCCAAAGACCAGCTGAGTAAAAAACTCATAATTATCAGCTTCCATTCAGTCAGCGGATAAAACCGCTTCGCCGGGCCAAATATATACACTCCTTTTTTGAAACATTATCTTAACAGCCTTTATCTGTTATAGACATGTTTGCGCAGTGGTGAACCTATAGGGCCATTGGTGTAGTGGAGGGTATACGCACTTTTTTTTCAGTCGGCATTGTGTATACTCACTTCTTAATCTCTACTGATGCGTATCAAAGTAGTGAAGTGGACGTATACGACTTATCAATTAGGTAGTACAATAGAGAAATCATGCACAAAGTAGCCTACACAATCGCAAATCACGTGAAATATATTCACATGCGCTCCGCACACATATCCTAGCTTCAGCGAAATATAATCTGCAGGCAGCAAGAGTACACAGCTCTCAACTGGTTGTCACATGGAGCAGCTCACAGAAGAATGACATCGGTAGCCGGTAGGGTAGGAAAGACATTTCAATTTATGATATCTACGAGTAAATGCTAACTAAGGCAACAATGGGTATGCAAACCAGGTATTAAAAAAGTTTAGTCCCAAGTGTTGGTAAGTAGGCTATTTGTGATGCGCAGTTGTCATCATGCACTGTTTGCATCAGTGGCGTAGACATGGATGGGCCTGGGTGGACAGAGGCCCACCCATTGGGAAGCCAGGCCCTGACAAGCCTACCCAATCAGATTGATGTGGTTTGAAGCATTGTGGACTTAGACCATCACGATTTTGAGAGTGAAAATCTGAAAAATCTATAGGAAAACTCATTAAAAAACCATTGGAAAGCATAGGATTTTTCACACAGGGTGCCTTTCCTTCGCTGGGGGGGCCGTTTGGGAACTTTTTGGCAAAATGAGTATACCCACTTCTCCAGGCACCACTACACCACTGCATAGGGCCGATGGAAAGACAGCAGTCACACACAGCATGATGTTAAAGGATAAGCAGTCCATAAACTCTGGACATAATAAGCCAGTAGGTACACACAAAGTAACCTGTGACCTAGAGTTTAAAGTGGAACTGACAGCATTTTAACTACTTTGCAGATATGAAACAAACACAATCATAATATCAGTAAAAAATGTAAAAGTCCCAGTTTTTATGCTACAAAACCAAGAGGTTTTAAAAATAGGTTATATTTGATTCAACGTTCCATGACGTACACGAAGGCGTTGTTGGCAGAATAGATGGATGCAGTTCAATGCATGATTAATATAATTCACCAATACATTTCTTGGTAGTCCAAAAAATATTGCTATCAGGTTGTAAATCACAGCTTGCCTGATACATTGTTTGCTGCCTCCATTCGGGATGCACTGTTTCAGTTTCAATGACTCAGTATTCTGGACAAAAACGGACGAATGTAACTAATGCTGGGAATGTCAATACAATCAAACTAGCAAGGGCAATGAACAAAAGTCAGTCATAACGTGGCTACTGTATTTTATTTATGTAGCAAGCTAAAAACACGGAGCCTAACGTTAGCTAACTGCTAGGAGGATGTCATGTCATGCGATTGGAGGAGTGGGTGAGTGACTGACTTTTTCCCCTCATATCGTTTTTCGGTGGCTAAACACAGCTAGAGACGCATGTATCATTTGGTTAGCTAGCAAGAACTTGAACGACTGTTATCCAGTTAGCATATCTCTTGCATTCGCAAATTCATTCTAGCTATCTACTACGATTTCAGAGCATTCTTGTCTGAGTGTGCTAGAGCGCAGAACAACTGATGAATTTACGAACGCGCAACACCCGCTGAATATGACCGGTGTCAGTAAACGTAGGCAAAGAAAGTAATAGTTAGTCAAAAACTCTCGAGATTACATGTAAACAGCCTAACCAGCTCTGCTACGGCGAGTAAAATGGTCAGAGTGAGTTTTTTTCTCATTTGTGTCTGGAAGTAGCTAGCTAGCAAGCTAGCCAACTTTAGCTGGTTAGCTTGGTTGTGACAAGCATGCATTGGCAGGCAAGCTGCAGAAGGACGAGGAGGCTACAATTCCCCATCGTTTTATCAGTGCATTTTTGACGGCCAACTAGCTGAAAAAGTTTAAGAGGGTTTATCTAATGTTCCTTCGTTAGATTTGAGCTAATCTTGCTCTGGCTAGCATTAGCTGTTGATCTTATTGTTGTTGATGTGCATAACTGAGGGAGAGAGAGCCTACTTTTTCATGGTTGTTTGATCAATAGGACTGTAAAGTTCCCAAATGTAAGAGGACTCCCGTGGTGTTTACATATTTACAGAAATACATTCAGGTGTATTTTTTGGCTTTTGGCAAATTAATGCGTTCTAATGATCGAAAGTCGCGCTGTTGCAACTGTTGCAAACACACAGTAAAGTTAAAAGTGAATGATGGCAGGCCCATGTGGCAAATGGCTTGTTTGTATAAAGGCCTACTGTAGCTCTGACTGGATATAGCTCTGACTAGTCTGTGTAGACTCCGGTCCTGGACAAGACAGATGTTTTTATTCGGTTTTATTTACTGCAGTGTCTATTAATTGTCCAAACGCACGGCCGCTTTCCCACTCTATATTGCTATAGAATTTTCACAAATGCCTTAGTTTACGTAATTCCCAAACGTTCTAAGAATTTATGAAAACGTGAAAATGACCATATCTAAGTGGTTGCTTGTCAGATTTTTTTTTTAAGTGTCATATTCTTTCTGGGGGTGTATATGAACAGATTGTAATACGATTTCATGTTGCTAAAATACTGTCAGTTCCACTTTAAATGCAACAATGTTTCACACAAGTTATTTTCAAAGAGATGGCTAACAGCAAGCACCCTGCAATAAGCACCCTGCAATAATAAACACAGTTCCACTCACCAGGAGAAGCTAACAAATTGCAACTGCATCCTCTTTGATGACACCTGCTGCAGCCGCTGCAAACTAGCCGACAACAAAAGCTAGCTAGCTAAACCATGGGAAAACTACTGCTCGCTATTGCGCAGTGAGCTGTTGGCCTTCAAGAAGGCAGAAGTTTCCATACGTTTTAGTAAAAACTGATATTTCTTTCTCTTCAGTGTTAACCCTTTCCAACAGAAATTGAAGAGATTAAATCAGAACATCATTGAAAATAATAATATAACTATCATTATTATTATAATAATATTATTATAATGATTATTTTATAAATCCTTAGTCCTTCTCTGAAGGCGTAGAAGGCCCATTGTTCCCCACTGTGTTTGGGTTAGTAATAATTTGTAGAGTGGCTCTATTTTCCCTCAGCATGCATTTCTTCACTATTCTGAATGTCTAAAGAATCCATATGTTGTTCTGAAATATGAACACAGAAATACTGGACATTTTGAACTCTTATTATGGTGGTGATTTGACAAAATTACAATCATGGTCTTGAATTGGGCTCACATTTTTATGGTCTCGGTCTTGGTCTTGAACACAACACTGCAATAGATATATCTTCATCACTCTTTAATGGATTCCAGACAATATTAAAGTGTCAGATATGGGACACACTCCTGAAAAATATTTTGTTACTTTTATTTTCTTGTGTTTTTGAAATAAAGTTACATAACAGGGTTCAGTAGTCTTTGGCTGTGCTTGACATCTTACTCTAGTGCCATAGAGTAGAGCAGCAGGAGCCTAACTAAACAAACCTGGTCCTTACTGTAATGTGGAGGTCTGGGAACCAAGTTGTTGTCCGCCCTGTTTCTGCTCCATCCGTTGACTGTGATACAGAGTTAATGGGGATTTCGGTGAGTGACTAGATGTGAGTGCAAGCTTAGAGTGCCCTAGTGTGGATGCTGTCAGTGTCATTATTCAGAATGCTGGTGAGAGTGACTACTGCATGTTAATGGTAGTACTATAGTAAGACTTATGAGTGTAGGCCTGGTGGTGAATGATTATACAGTTGTTGTCTCAAAAGCAGAGATGGTAAGATAGCCTGGGTGCCAGTCTGCTTCTGCTTAAACAACGCTACATTGTTACCTTGCCAACAACAAAAACAAGTTGACTAAAGCAGAAACAGACTTGCACCCAGGCTAATGTTAGTGTTGAGTGACTTACATTATATTTTGTTTTCAGGTTCAGGCGACCAGCAGCAGTAACCATGTCTCAGTCTGCAGAGAAAGGGAAGGTGAGTGTACCCCTAATTCTTTAGTACGCACACGCCCTAACCCAGGCACTCAGAGAGGACATCCTGTATAAACAGCTGTTTCATCAGCAGCTTTATTGCTTTTAGGATTTTCTCCTCCATTTAATCTCAATTTACACCAGCCATCTAAAGGCTGGAGATGAAGAATGTCAGGGAGGAGAGCGATATATTGTCACATGCTTCGTAAAAAACGGGTGTAGACTAACAGTGAAACGCTTACTTACAGGGCCTTTCCCAAAAATGCATAGAGAGAAAACAAATAAATTATAGAAAATGTATGACACAAGGAATAAATACACAATGAGTAATGATAACTTGGCTATATACACGGGGGTACCAGTACCGAGTTGATGTGCAGGGGTACAAGGTAATTGAGGTAGATATGTACATACAGGTAGGGATAAAGTGACTAGGAAACAGGATGGACAATAAACAGTAACAGCAGCGCATCTGATGAGCCAAAAGAGTTAGTGCAAAAAAGGGTAAATGCAGATAGTCTGGGTAGTTATAGGTTTACTATTTAACTATTTAGCAGTCTTATGGCTTGGTGGTAGAAGCTGTTCAGGGTCCTGTTGGTTCCAGACTTGGTGCATCGGTACCACTTGCCGTGAGGTAGCAGAGAGAACAGTCTATGACGTGGGTGGCTGGAGTCTTTGACAATTTTTAGGGCCTTCCTCTGACACCACCTGGTATAGAGGTCCTGGATGGCAGGGAGCTCGGCCCCGGTGATGTACTGGGCTGTACGCACCACCCTCTAGAGCCTTGCGGTCGGATGCCAAGCAGTTGCCATACCAAGCGGTGATGCAGCCAGTCAAGGTGCTCTCAATGGTGCAGCTGTAGAACGTTTTGAGGATCTGAGGGCCCATGCCAAATCTTTTCTGCATCCTGAGGGGGAAGAGGCGTTATCGTGCCCTCTTCACAACTGTGTTGGTGTGTGGACCATGATAATTCCTTAGTGATGTGGACACCAAGGAACTTGAAGCTCTCGCCCTGCTCCACTACAGCGCTGTCGATGTGGATGGGGGCCATTTCCTGTAGTCCATGATCAGCTCCTTTGTCTTGCTGATGTTGAGGGAAAGGTTGTTGTCATGGCACCACGCTGCCAAGTCTCTGACCTCCTCCCTGTAGGCCGTCAGTGATCAGGCCTACCACCGTCATATCGTCTGCAAACCTAATGATGGTGTTGGAGTTGTGTGCGGCCACGCAGTCGTGGGTGATGTGGGATTACAGGAGGGGACAAGGCACGCAACCCTGAGGGGCCCCCGTGTTAAGGGTTAGCGTGACGGATGTGTGGTTGCCTACCCTCACCACCTGGGGGTAGCCAGTCAGGAAGTCCAGGATTCAGTTGCAGAGAGAGGTGTTTCATCTCAGGGTCCTTAGTTTAATGATGAGCTTGGAGGGCACTATGGTGTTGAACGCTGAGCTGTAGTCAATGAACAGCATTCTCACGTAGGTGTTCCTTTTGTCCAGGTGGTACAATAGAGATTGCATCGTCTGTGGTTCTGTTGGGGCAGTATGCGAATTGGTGTGGGTCCATTTGTGTGGGATGACGGTGTTGATGTGATCCATGACCAGCCTTTCAAAGCATTTCATGGCTACAGATGTGAGTGCTACAGTGCGATAGTCATTTAGAAAGGTTACTTTGGCATTCTTGGGCACAGGGAATAGGGTGGTCTGCTTGAAACATCTAGGTATTACAGACTGGGTCAGGGAGAGGTTGAACATGTCAGTGAAGACACTTGCCAGCTGGTCAGTGCACGTCCTGGTAATCTGTCTGTGAATGTTAACCTTTTTATAGGTCTTACTCACATCAGCTACGGAGAGCTTGATCACGCAGTTGTCCGGACCAGCTGGTGCTCTCATGCATGGTTTAGCAAGCATAGAAGATATTTAGCTCGTCTGGTAGATTTGCATCACTGGACGACTCGCAGCTGGGTTTCCCTCTGTAATCCGTGATAGTTTACAAGCCCTGCCACATCCGACAATGCGTCAGAGCTGGTGTAGTAGGATTCGATCTTGGTCCAGTATTGACGCTTTGCCTGTTTGATGATTTGTTGGAGCGTGTAGCAGGATTTCTTATAACCGTCCGGATTAGTGTCCCGCTCCTTGAAAGCAGCAGCTCTAGCCTAGATGTTGCCTGTAATCCATGGCTTCTGGTTGGGATATTTACGTACAGTCACTGTGTGGACGTCGTCATCGATGCACTTATTAATGAAGCCGGTGACTGATGTGGTAAAGTCCTCCATGCCATCGGATGAATCCCGGAACATATTCCAGTCTGCGCTAGCGAAACAGTCCTGTAGCTTAGCATCAGTTTCATCGGACCGCTTCCGTATTGAGCGTGTCACTGGTACTTCCTGTTTGAGTTTTTGCTTGTAAGCAGGAATCAAGAGAATTAAGTTATGGTCAGATTTGCCAAATGGAGGGCGAGGGAGAGCATTTTATGTGTCTCTGTGTGTGGAGTAAAGGTGATCTAGAGTTTTTTTGCCTCTAGTTGCACAGGCGACAAGCTGGTAGAAATGAGGTAAAATTGATTTCTAGGAGTGCCGCCTCTGGGTGATGGTTTTCTTGTTTGCTTATGGCCCTATACAGCTCGTTGAGTGCGGTCTTAGTGCGATCATCGGTTTGTGCTGGTAAATATAGATAAACTCTCTTGGTAAGTAGTATGGTCTACGTATAGAAAAACCAGCTAGATTTATATTTACCATGTCCTTGTTCAGCCACGACTCTGAGAAACATCGGATATTACAGTTCTTCAGATCACGTTGATAGGATAGTCTTGAACGGAGCTCATCCAGTTTATTCTCCAGTGATTGCACGTTTGCCAATAGAACGGAGGGTAGAAGCGTCTTATCAGGTATCCCGCACGCCGGCCTCTATAGCGCCGTCTCCTCCTCCTTCGAGGTTGGGGATTTGGGCCTGGTCTGGGATAATAAATGTATTTCGCTTCCTACTCATTGAAGTAGAAGTCCTCGTCCAAATTGAGGTTAGTGATAGCTGTTCTGATGTCCAGAAGCTCTTTTCGGTCATAGGAAACGATGGCGGCAACATTATGTACAAAAAAATACTAAAAGAAACAATTTGTCAGTAGCCTGCAAAACGGACGCTATTCCCTCCAGCGCCATTCTACTACACAGAGTGGGAGGGAAGCGAAACAATTTAAGACACTTCTTCCAATGCAAATCCTACTGAGTTATAATGCATTATCGTTATAACCATGTGTTTGTCAGTTCCCCGAGGCGGCAGGATATGTGGGTTTTGCCAACCTACCCAACCAGGTGCACAGGAAGTCAGTGAAGAAGGGATTTGAGTTCACCCTCATGGTTGTTGGTGAGTATGACCTATTCTACAACTATGTCGATTCAATTCAGGAGAATTCAAGAGAAGCTCACCTACACAGTAGTTATTTTGTGCCAGAATGCTGTTGTATAGTTGAGGGCTGTGTCCAAGATGGCATCGTATTCCCTATATAGTGCACTACTTTTGACCAGAGCCCTAGGCCCTGGTCAAAAGTAGTGCACAATATACGGAATAGGGTGCCATTTGGGACGCAACCTTGTAGATGTATAGATCCTAGAATGATCAGGCCCGGTCCGTATTTCTGCAGGAGAGTCTGGTTTGGGCAAGTCTACGCTGATCAACAGCCTGTTTCTGACAGACCTCTACCCAGAGCGATACATCCCTGGGGCCGCAGGTACACTCACACTCACTCACTAATAATGGAGAAATGTCTGTTCTGCTGTCTCCGGTATAGTATTGCCTGGAGTGGAATGTTAAGAATTATCGTTTGTATTAGTCTTTCAAAGGCCCATCCCCTCCTCATGACTTAGATTATTGGCCAGTCTGTAAAACAACCTCCAGCTCCTACCGCTTTTGTGTTTGTAGTTCTGAAGGGATGGGATAGGTGTAAGCAGTATTGTAATGGCTTCAGCATTGGGCAATATTGATCGTACAAAAAAAACACGATTTGAAATCATGTGAAAACTTGTTTTTGGAACACTTACGTTTTCACGTGTAGTTTCATGTTATCACATGTTGCTTTACATGTTGTCACATGTTATGTTATAACTTCACATAAGATCATATGTGATCACATGAAAACTTGTGTTTTTGGAACACTTTTTACATGTTCACATGTGAAATTCATGTGTTTTTTTTTTTTTTTCCATAAGGGTGCTTACACCTGTCCAGCTGCTTAAGATCTGCAGAAGGGGTTAGGGGCTGCCTGGGTTTGTTTTCAACTTGGATATTTTTTCCAGAGGCTTGGCTTAGGCAGGCTTTAGAGTCACAAGGAACAGAAGCTTTGATCTGAAAAGTAATGAAACTACTTAATTATAATGCTGTGTCCCCCGGGATCCCTCTAAGCTTAACCTAGTGTGTTACACCCAACTAAATATTATTTATTTTGTCTCTCCCTCTGTAGAGAAGATCGAGCGGACGGTGCAGATAGAAGCCAGTACGGTGGAGATTGAGGAGAGGGGTGTGAAACTCCGCCTTACTGTGGTCGACACCCCCGGATATGGAGACGCCATCAACAGCCAGGACTGGTGGGTGGATGGGGGGGGGGGGAGTCAACTTGTTTGCCCTCCTGTACTCCCATCCCCTTTTACTCTTTCTCTCAAATTTCCTCTCACCTTCCTCCTCCACCCTCTCTTTCCTACCTCTCCTTCCCAATCTTTCATTCGCCCTTTCGCCATTTCCTCAGCCTCCTCCCCTTTGTCTGTTTGTGTGTGTGTGTGCAGGGTTTGTTCTGGATCAAAAAGGCGCTTAGGTGGTGGGCGTGGCAATGGGTGCGGACGTTGTGTCAGTGCTGCTGAATTTAAAGGCCCTGTGCAGTCAGAAACGTGATTTTTCTGTGTTTTATATACATTTCCACACTATGAGGTTGGAATAATACTGTGAAATTGTGAAAATTATGATAATACCCTTTTAGTGTAAGAGCTGTTTGAAAAGACTGCCTGAAATTTCAGCCTGCTTTGGTGGGATGGAGTTTTGGCCTGCCTGATGACATCACCAGGCAGTAATTAGTTAATAGACCAATAAGAAAGAGAGTACATTTCTGCCAATAACAGCTAGTTTTCAGTTTTCTCCTCCCCACTCAGACCACTCCCAGACAGTCATAGCCAAATTCTTGCTTGAGAAATTGCTCTTCCTAAGAAGACATTTTGGTTTCTTTTTGAAAACAATCAAAGTAAGGTGCTTTGTTACCCAGAAATGATTTGATATCGAGAAAAATAGTGTGCAAAGCTGTCAGCAAGGCAAAGGGTGGGTATTTAAAATATATTTTGATTTGTTTAACACTTTTCTGGTTACTACATGATTCCATATGTGTTATTTCATAGTTTTGATGTCTTCACTATTATTCTACAATGTAGAAAATAGTACAAATAAAGAAAAACCCTTGAATGAGTAGGTGTGTCCAAACAACAATAACAGCACTTACAGTTGACTGGGGCAGCTCTAGCAGGGCAGACATTTGACTAACTGACTTATTGGAAAGCTGGCATCCTATAACGGTGCCTTGTTGAAAGTCACTGAGCTCTTCAGTAAGGACATTCTACTGCCAATGTTTGTCTAAGTTGAATGCACCAATTTGTAAGTCGCTCTGGATAAGAGCGTCTGCTAAATGACTTAAATGTAAATATGGAGATTGCATGGCTGTGTGCTTCATTTTATACACCTGTCAGCAACGGGTGTGGCTGAAATAGCTGAATCCACTAATTTGAAGGGGTGTCCACATACTTTTGTATATTTAGTGTATTTTTCTACCCATCCCCTGATCTGTGCCTTTCCACAACATTGTCCCGGAGTTCTTTTGAAAGCTCCTTGGTGCCCATGGTTGAGTGTTTGCTTTGCAATTCACTACCAAGCATAGGGAAGCTACAGGAACGGCTGAATTTATCCTAAAATCATGGCCAATTTACTTGGTGTGTGATTTTGAAGGTGATTGGTTACACCTGAGATAATTTTGGATTGCTATTATAAGGGGGTGGGGAGGGGGGGTGGCGGCCCGCTGAAGGATTTCAATGGCAGAAAAATCCCTGTGTGTGTATTGGTATACAGTGAGGGAAAAACGTATTTAATCCCCTGCTGATTTTGTACGTTTGCCCACTGACAAAGAAATTATTAGACTATAATTTTAATGGTAGGTTTATTTGAACAGTGAGACAGAATAACAAAAAAAAAATCCAGAAAAACGCATGTCAAAAATGTTATAAATTGATTTGCATTTTAATGAGGGAAATAAGTATTTGACCCCCTCTCAATCAGAAAGATTTCTGGCTCCCATGTGTCTTTTATACAGGTAACAATCTGAGATTAGGAGCACACTCTTAAAGGGAGTGCTCCTAATCTCAGCTTGTTACCTGTATAAAAGACACCTGTCCACAGAAGCAATCAATCAATCAGATTCCAAACTCTCCACCATGGCCAAGACCAAAGAGCTTGCCAAGGATGTCAGGGACAAGATTGTAGACCTACACAAGGCTGGAATGGGCTACAAGACCATCGGCAAGCAGCTTGGTGAGAAGGTGACAACAGTTGGTGCGATTATTCGCAAATGGAAGAAACACAAAAGCACTGTCAATCTCCCTCGACCTGGGGCTCCATGCAAGATCTCACCTCGTGGAATTGCAATGATCATGAGAACGGTGAGGAATCAGCCCAGAACTACACAGGAGGATCTTGTCAATGATCTCAAGGCAGCTGGGCCCATAGTCACCAAGAAAACAATTGGTAACACACTACGCCGTGAAGGACTAAAATCCTGCAGCGCCCGCAAGGTCCCCCTGCTCAAAAAAGCACATATACAGGCCCGTCTGAAGTTTGCCAATGAACATCTGAATGATTCAGAGGAGAATTGGGTGAAAGTGTGGTGGTCAGATGAGACCAAAATCGAGCTCTTTGGCATCAACTCAACTCGCCGTGTTTGGAGGAGGAGGAATGCTGCCTATGACCCCAAGAACACCATCCCCACCATCAAACATGGAGGTAGAAACATTATGCTTTGGGGGTGTTTTTCTGCTAAGGGGACCGGACAACTTCACCGCATCAAAGGGACGATGGACGGGGCCATGTACCGTCAAATCTTGGGTGAGAACCTCCTTCCCTCAGCCAGGGCATTGAAAATGGGTTGTGGATGGGTATTCCAGCATGACAATGACCCAAAACACATGGCCAAAGCAACAAAGGAGTGGCTCAAGAAGAAGCACATTAAGGTCCTGGAGTGGCCTAGCCAGTCTCCAGACCTTAATCCCATAGAAAATCTGTGGAGGGAGCTGAAGGTTCGAGTTGCCAAATGTCAGGCTCAAAACCTTAATGACTTGGAGAAGATCTGCAAAGAGGAGTGGGACAAAATCCCTCCTGAGTTGTGTGCAAACCTGGTGGCCAACTACAAGAAACGTCTGACCTCTGTGATTGCCAACAAGGGTTTTGCCACCAAGTACTAAGTCATGTTTTGCAGAGGGGTCAAATACTTATTTCCCTCATTTAAAATGCAAATCAATTTATAACATGTTTGAAATGCGTTTTCCTGGATTTTTTGTTGTTGTTATTCTGTTTCTCACTGTTCAAATAAACCTACCATTAAAAGTATAGATTGATCATTTCTTTGTCAGTGGGCAAACGTACAAAATCAGCAGGGGATCAAATACTTTTTTCCCTCACTGTACCTATGTCTGTGTGTATGAGTGTGTGTACAATAGTTGATGATGGCAGGAGCAGTGATTCTTCCCGTTCCCTTGCCCCCTCAGCTGCTGTGTGGGCTCTCTCACTCCCTCTCTCCCTCCACCTCTCGCTCTCCTCCCCTCAGCTCCATTTCCTGTTGATTGTCCTGACATGCCTGTGTTTGTGCCTGTGGTTGAGTGGACGTTGAAATCAAATAAACAACAAAAAATGGTCACATGCTTAGTAAACAACAGGTGTAGACTAACAGAGAAATGCTTACTTACAGGTCCTTTACTAACCATGCAGAGTTAAAGATGAAGATAGAAAAAGATAGATATAGAAACCAGGGTTGTTACCACTGGCAGTGGTCTAAGGGCTAGGTTGAGTGCAATAGAGCAGGTTAGCAGCTCGGTGGCGTCAGTGACAACAAAGGGGCAACAGTAGCAGGTGATAAGGATATGCTAAGATCCAGAGTTGGGATCATTCCATTTCAATTAATCTCAGTTCAATTGGACAAGGCATTTTTTCACAGTAGTGGCTTGAGTTGTCTGGAGTTGATACGGAATGAACCCCAACACTGCCTGGGTCCAACTGGGTGATGTGAATATAGGTCAGAGGTAATCTACATCCCAAATGGCACCCTATTCCCTATATAGTGCACTACTTTTGACCAGAGTAGTGCACTATACAGGGAATAGGGTGCCATTTGGGAAGCAGACTTTGTGTTGATGTTACTTCTGTTTGGGGGGTAAGCTGTAGCTAATGACCATGTGACCACGCCTAGTGGCCCTGCAGGAAGTAATCAGAGAAAGCAGGTCAGATGACAGAGATAGGCTACATCTCAATAATCTGAAATGGCTTCTTTTTCTGGTCTACTTTCCTCCATGTTGCTGTCTGTTATCGCTGGTTTTCATATCAGTGCAGATGAAGTAGGAAAGGTGAGGAGAAAAAGCAAGTTTAGGCTTTTGAGTTGCACCCACTTTGTGAATATTTAAAGTATATACAGTGTATATACTGCCAAGGCTACAAAGACCCACAATCTATTTCTGGAGGTGGTCTTCAAGTTCACACAATGTCTCTGGTCGGTTTGTGTTTGATTTTTGTGTGTGTGTTTTGTTTGTGTGTGTGTGTGTGTCCTCAGCTTTAAGACTATCATCCAGTACATTGATAACCAGTTTGAGCGTTACCTTCATGACGAGAGTGGCCTAAACCGCAGGCACATCGTAGACAACAGAGTCCACTGCTGCTTCTACTTCATCTCTCTTTTTGGACACGGGTAACACACACACACACACACACACACACACAGCTACTTCTTACCACTATTTAGACTGGGTAGTGGGAACATAATCACTTTATATTTATCTGTATTATATTTCTACCTGTCCCTGTATCTGTCCAGTCTGAAGCCTCTGGATGTGGAGTTCATGAAGGCCATTCACAGCAAGGTCAACATCGTCCCTGTCATCGCTAAGGCTGACACACTCACACTGAAAGAGAGAGACCGCCTTAAAAGGAGGGTGAGTGGGGCACACACGTATAAGTACACCACATATTCAATAGTTTTCCCTCATTCCCTTACGTTAAAATCTCTTTTTAAATACTGGTGTAAAAACATAGTCACTAAGATCATGATAGAACCAGTGGAATGTGAGATGAGGCTGTTGCCTGGATGTTGTGAGCTGCATCAGCATCACTAGCTGTTCTTGTTTGTGTCCTGAGCCATATGGTACTGTCATCAGAACGTAGATTATAGAATAATAATCAGAGGCAGCTATCCAAGTCGGACATCGTGATTGTGTGTGAATACGCACACATCTGGCCTGTTTGTGTGCGTGTGTACATTTTTGATGATGCAGCTTGATTGCTGCTGGACAAAAGCAGGCTTCTTTAGAAGTGCAGAGAGAGAAAAGAAAGGACGAGACAGGGAAAGAGAGAGGGGGAAAGACAAAAGAGGGAGAGGGAGAAAGAGAAAGCACACATCTTGGTCAGTATCTCCTCCCAGATGCTTCCTATTGGAGCAGACCCAGGTGTCTGCCTGCCTGCACGCTCCCTGCTTTCTGATGTCTGGTCTGACATAACATACACATACACACACACGCCCTTGTCCAACCCTTTGTGTTATTGTAGTCAGGTTACACTCTGGGCTCCCTTTCATCTCACATGCATTAGACCCTGTAATGCACGCGCGCACACACACACACACACACCAGGAGAGGTGTGTTAAGATTTCACTTTAATAACTCTACCTACATGTACATTTTATCTCAATTACCTCGACTAACCGGTGCCCCCGCACATTGACTCTGTACCGGTACCCCCTGTATATAGCCTCGCTACTGTTATTTTACTGCTGCCCTTTCATAATTTTTTATTTTTTTTAATGTATTTTTATTTTTAGGTATTCTTTCTTAAAACTGCATTGTTGGTTAAGGGCTTGTAAGTAAGCATTTCACTGTAAGGTCTACACCTGTTGTATTCGGCGCATGTGACAAATCAAATTTGATTTGATTAAGATGATATAGCCCATGCTAGGAAGAGGAGAATAAGGTTGTGTAAATAGGATTTCCTGCTTCTGTGATATCACTCCCCAACTCCGCTCATCCCCCTCTCCTCCACCCCCTCCACCCACCCAGCCCACCCAACAATGGTCCTGTTGCCTGATGATTAGATGTTTTGGTTTCTGCTCCTTTTGATTCTGTGTGTTTGAGTCACAGTTTGTTTAAATTTCTCTCTGGGATCAAACAGTGCCTTTCTCTCTGTGGTGGGAGAGATAGCAACCAGATCCGGACAGGGCTGACTCGTTGTGTGTGTGCGTGCATCTTATATAATCCTCTGGTGACATCCACCCAATATAATCAACAGTGAATATCTTATTGTCTAACTTCTGCCCTCTGCCCCTTTGTTTTGCCTGAGCTGTGTAGTTAGCTGTACTGCAACTACTGTGTACTGTATTTCCCCTCCCTAACCCCTGTACTGACAGTCCAGTCCCAGCTAGTAGTCTATGTTCAGTCCCAGAACCCCCACCAGCACTTCTTTCATACCCCAGAGACGTTGGTCTTTTCCCCCAGTGGGGAGGCCTCTGCCCCAGCCTGTATGTGGCCGGAGTGGGACCTGGCTGGCACTCAGGGCTGGAACGGCTCTCCTAGCTGGGCTCCGGTGGAGGATGGCAGACTCAGTCACTGGACAGCTGCTTTGTTGGAAGCCCAGGTCTGTACAGAGCTTGTTCTACGGGAGTGAGAGTGTATGTGTGCGCTTTGTTGAAGACACAGTCTGGTTGTGTAAAGTGCTGATGTTACATATTAGTAAACATTGTGGGGGGTGCTGAGGAGTATTTCTGTCTGTAATAAAGCCCTTTTGTGGGGAAAAACTCATTCCGATTGGCTGGGCCTGGCTCCCAAGTGGGTGGGCCTATGCCCTCCCAGGTCCACCCATGGCTGCGCCCCTGCCCAGTCATGTGAAGTCCATAGATTAGGGCCTGATGAATTTATTTAATGAACTGTAACTCAGCAAAATCTTTGAAATTGTTGCGTTTATATTTTTGTTCAGTATAGCTTTTACCATATCTGTATAGGGTGAGTGTTCTGACAACCACAGGGGATGGGCTGAGGTGAGAGAGGAAATATGCTTTGATAACATCTCACACCCTTTCCTGTTCAACTGTTTAAAACTGTCTGTTTGTCCAATTGGTTCCCATTAACAACTGTCAGTTAACAAGCAATTAGGATAAACTGAATAGATAGCCTACACACAGATGTGCACTCTAATACATCACAAACTCACATACAGTTTACCACAAACCTCTGCTGCTCCTCCGTAAACAACATTTATGAATTCCCCCATGCCCACATAGGCCTACCAGCACACACTTTTATTTTATTTTATTTTTATTTAACCTTTATTTAACCAGGCAAGTCAGTTAAGAACAAATTCTTATTTACAATGACGGCCTACACCGGCCAAACCCGGACGACGCTGGGCCAATTGTGCGCCGCCCTATGGGACTCCCAATCACGGCCGGTTGTGATACAGCCTGGAATCGAACCAGGGGGTCTGTAGTGACGCCTCAAGCACTGAGATGCAGTGCCTTAGACCGCTGCGCCACTCGGGAGCCCACTGATTAAATAGGGATGGCATAATTGACACAGTCTGTATCAGGCTAATGGTAGTGAGTTCCTGGATAAATCATTATAGGCAGGAAGTGGAGGGGGCACTCGATTTCACAGGTCCAAATTTAACCATGGAACCAAGCTGTATTTCCAATTACACTTTGCTAAGCATCATTTTAATGTATTTTTAAAGGGAAAAACATTTCTGATGCGACTGTGATTTGCTCATCTTGGGTTTACTTGTTGTCCTTTGCGCTATGTTTGTTTCCCAGTTTAATCAGATAAGTAATAGATTGCCATACCAGGGTAGTAGAATACCCCTCCCCTATTAGACTAGGGTAGTAGAATACCCCTCCCCTATTAGACTAGGGTAGTAGAATACCCCTCCACTGTTAGACTAGGGTAGTAGAATACCCCTCCCCTGTTAGACTAGGGTAGTAGAATACCCCTCCCCTATTAAGACTAGGGTAGTAGAATACCCCATCCCCGATTAGACTAGGGTTAGTATGAATTAACCCCTCCCCTAGAGACTAGGGGGAGTAAATACCCCTCCGCCTGTTAGACTAGGGTAGTAGAATACCCCTCCCTTATTAGACTAGGGTAGTAGAATACCCCCCCCATATTAGACAAGGGTAAGTAGAATACCCCTCCCCGATTATAATGGACAGGGTATAGTAGAATACCCCCCCCTTTTTAGCGGGGAGCCCCCCATTAAAAAGGGGAAAATAAAACCCCCCTTTCCCCAAATAAAGGGAAACCCCCCCTTTTTAATAGGTAAGCCCCCTTTTTTTTAAAGGGAAAACCCCCCCCCTTTCCTGGTCTTTTTTCCAGTTTCATTAATCAAAAAGGCCAAGGAAAAAAACCCCGGGAAAAAATTTGTTTTTTTTTCCCCCCCTATAATTAGTTTTTTTTTTTTTTCACCCCTTTTCCCTCAATTTTTTTTGATTTTTTCCTTTCGGGAATTTTTCCCCCCTCCCCCCGGGGGTACCCCCTCATTTAGGGGAAGGGGAAAACTTCTTTGAATGGGTGTAAATTTTCCCCCCCAAAAAGGGCCCCCTCCATAAAAGCAAACCCTAAAAACCCCCCCTTTTTGGGCCCTCCCTTTTTTTTTTTCCCCCCCCCCAACTTTTTTTGCCCCCCTTTCCCCCCCCCCTTTTCCTCCCCCTTAAAAAACCCCTCTTTCCCCTTTCCCCTTTTTCCCCCCCCCCCCTGCCCCCCCCTTTTCCCCCTTTTCCCCCCCCCCCCCCTTTTTCCCCCCTTTTTTTTTTTCCCCACCCCTTCCCCCAATTTTTTCCCCCTTTTCTCCCCCCCCCCCTCTCCCCTTTTTTCCCCCCCCCCCCCCCCCCTTTCCCTTGTTTTTTTTTTCCCCCCCCCCTTTCCCCCCCCCCCCTTTTTTCCCCTCCCCCCCCCTTTTCCCCTTTCCCTTCTTTTCCCCCCCCCTTGTTTTTTTCTGGGGGGGCCCCCTTTTTTTTTTTTTTTAACCCCCCCCCCCCCCCCCCCCCCCCCCCCCCCCCCCCCCCCCCCCCCCCCCCCCCCCCCCCCCCCCCCCCCCCCCCCCCCCCCCCCCCCCCCCCCCCCCCCCCCCCCCCCGGGGGGGGGGGGCCCCCCCCCCCCCCCCCCCCCCCCATTTTTTTTTTTTTCCCCCCCCCCCAAATTTTTTTTTTTTTTTTTTTTTTTTTTTTGGGGGGGGGGGGCCCCCCCCCCCCCCCCCCCCCCCCCCCCTTTTTTTTTTTTTGGGGGGGGGGGGGGGGCCCCCCCCCCCCCCCCCCCCCCCCCCCCCCCCTTTTTTTTTTCCCCCCCCCCCCCCCCCCCCCCCCCCCCCCCCCCCCCCTTTTTTTTTTTTTTTTTTTTTTCCCCCCCCCCCCCCCCCCCCCCCCCCCCCCCCCCCCCCCCCCCCTTGCCCCCCCCCCTTTTTTGGCCCCCCCCCCCCCCCCCCCCCCCCCCCCCCCCGGGGGGGGGGGGCCCCCCCCCCCCCCTCCCCCCCCCGTTTTTTTTTTTTTTTATTTTTTCCCCCCTCCCCCCCCCCCCTTTTTCCCCCTTCTCCCCCTCCCTTCCTCCTCTTTTTTTATGCCTTTCCCTCTTCCCCGTTCGTCCCTGGGGGTCCGGGTTTTGGGGGGTTTTTTTCCCTTTGGGGGTTTCCCCCTGTTCTCCTTTTTGGGGGCCTAAAAAACCCCCATTGTTTTCCTATTATGACAAAAAAAGGAGGGTTTTTAGAGATTTTGGCGGGGACATGCTACGAAAAAAAACAATGACAAAAACCTGCATATCAGCTGTAGTGGATTCGCCATATAAGGGGAGCCATTTTGAACAACACTAGTGAATTTCCAGCTGTTTATGGAAAAGAGAATACAAATAACTGAGCTTATTCAGCAATGGGGTTTAGATGATCTTGGCGAGGGAGAAGGGCATGTAGTGCTAGTACACAGTACTGTATGTACTCACTAACCTGCTTTAGTGGTATAGTAGCACTTGAGTTAATTATTTTACTGCAATAGTAGTTTGCTACTATTAGGTCACTACATGGCAACTGTAGTTTGAAGGGAGGCAGAGGTCAGAGATGGCTGGAGAGCTCAGGAGGAGTTCTGTTCTCGCGCCGAGCCGGGGGGACAACCAATTGTTCAGCCCTCTCCCCTTCTCTCTCCCCCCTCCTCTCCTGTTCTCGCGGAAGGCAGTTTGGCCGTGCGGCTGTCATATATCACCCAGGCCGCGGCCCATGATGCTGTCACAGCTTTCCCGTCATTGTCTCGCTCCTGTCGACTCTCCCAGGCATCCTCAGTCCTCTCAGCCTTGTTCCTGCTGTGTGAACCAGCTCTACAGCCCCACAGGGGTACTGGTAGCTTAGCATAGCGCTATACCTCCGTCTCTAGGCCGATTATAGTAGCAGTGGAGTACAGTTAGCCAAAAGTCCTGCATTGTTTCTCTTTCATCCTCTGAGCATCTAATGGGTCTTTGCCCATACAAACACTCAACGGCCTTTAGGATTAAAGGTCGAACACTGATGATGACCTCATCCTTACTGAGGCCTCTCCTGTGTGTGTGTGTCCCCGTGTCCGTGTGGTCGTTGTCCAGTCCTTTTCCTGCCTGTGACTCCAACACGCGGGGGTATTTATTTGTCTGCCATGTGGCAGTCATTGTGCCAGGGCATGCCCGCGCTTCTGCAGGATTAAAAACAATAAATACACATTTCCCTCCGTGGAGAGAATAACTATAAAACACAATTACCTCTTCAGGAGTGGATTCGGAACAGGCCTTTTACAGTGAGAAAACAGCAGGTTTCCTTGCTTTTCTTTTTCTCAGGCTGACACCCCTTCAAAAGAAAGTCAGAGAATCTACTTAAAGTGAAGACAAATAATATAAGTAATGATATTAGCCCCTAGAGTCGATTGACGTACCCCTGCGTCACACAGTGAAGTCATTTTGAATATTGAATAGCTATCCATGTGTTTATGCTAGAGACTTACCATATTGTAGTGGCTGCAGCTCAATCCCCTCTTTCCACCGATATAAAGTTTGCGCCTATTCCATAACATGGGGCTTGTGAAAGCAGCCTTTTTCTACACGAGAGGATCCGGACAAGAAAATCGTCACACAATTGTCTGTAAAACCCGAACCGTGTGAGCTACAAACTAATATGTCACCTAAGGGGAGACTCTCACATACAAGACAGTGTCGGTTGTTTGGCTCTACGACATCCACAGACTTTACGGCAGTCGTCTGAACTCTCTGTCGCGGATGTCCTCCTTTCAAAGAGGTTTTCTCACAAAACCGACTGTCCAGACCGGACCGTTGGCGCTACAAACTAATATGTCACCAACTCGACGCACACTAGCTTCAGGGGAATCGTCTGATGGTAACCCAGTACCTGGCTGTAAACATTTCAAAAACGGCATAGGGTGTAAAATGTGGCAAAAATAACATGACCAAACATGGGTATAAAAAAAATGTGTTCTTATTATCTCTCAGATATAGGACACACACTTCAAAAACTTGTTCCTTATGAATAATCTTTAGACTTTCTGTTTTGCCATTAATGAATGTGTTATTCAATACGTTTCAATGGGCTATAGCAGTAAAGGCCAAATTCAATTTAATCAAATAATT